AATTCCAGATTCGATTCCTGTATCTAGCTAGGGCATATCTGTGAGTAACTGATTATAGATTTGATACCTGTATCCAGCCAGGGCACGTCTGCATGAAGAGTTTAGAGATTCAATTCCTGTATCCAACCAGGGCATATCTGTAGAAGACAAATTCCAGATTCGATTCTTGTATCTAGCCAGGGAATATCTGTGAGTAGATTCGATTCCTGTATCCAGCCAGGGCATATCTGCATGAAGAGTTTAGAGATTCGACACCTGTATCCAGCCAGGGCACATCTGTAGACGACTAATTCCAGATTCGATTCCTGTATCTAGCCAGGGCATATCTGAAGAGTTTGAAGATTCGATACCTGTATCCAGCCAGGGCATATCTGTAGACCAATTCCAGATTCGATTCCTGTATCCAGCCAGGGCATATCTGTGAGTAACGGATTGTAGATTCGATACCTGTATCCAGCCAGGGCATGTCTGCATGAAGAGTTTAGAGATTCGATTCCTGTATCCAGCCAGGGCATATCTGTAGACGACTAATTCCAAATTCGATTCCTGTATCTAGCCAGGGCATATCTGTGAGTGATTGATTGTAGATTCGACACCTGTATCTAGCCAGGGCATTGTCTGCATGAAGAGTTTAGAGATTCGATACCTGTATCCAGCCAGGGCATATCTATAGACAACTAATTCTAGATTCGATTCATGTATCTAGCCAGGGCATATCTATGAGTAACTGATTGTAGATTCGACACCTGTATCTAGCCAGGGCATTGTCTGCATGAAGAGTTTAAAGATTCGATACTTGTATCCAGCCAGGGCACGTCTGTAAGCAACCTTTTGAAGTTCCGGATTCGATTCCTGTATCCAGCCAGGGCACATTTGTGAGCAATTGATTGTGGATTCGATACCTGTATCTAGCCAGGGCATATCTACATGAAGAGATTGAAGATCAACACCTGTAATAGGCCAGGAAACCATCTTCCTTTCTCAAAGCACGCAAGTTCTCGCTAAGGAATCTCTTACGCGATCGACACCTTCTGATGGCATCTATAAGCCCATCTCCACAACTATCCATCACATTTCCAAATGGCATATATAAGCCCATTCCCAACAAAGTTTTGTCACATCTTCAGATGGCATCTATAAGCTCATCCTCCTACCCATCATATCTCCAAATGGCATCTATAAGCCCATTCCCGACGAGATTCTGTCACATCTCCAGATGGCATCTATAAGCCCATCCTCTTATCCACCATCTCTCCAAATGGCATCTGTAAGCCCATTCCTGCCATCACCTTGCTGACATTCTACTATGCGAGTGCAAATTTCTAGGCACTCTAGTGTTCAATCATCTTCCACCCTCGGATCACGAAAGGCACACAAGCCAATCTACATCCTCAGGTATAAGAAGATTGAACAGGGGCAACTGTTGTACCCCAAAATTTTCCCTCCCATATTCTTCAAAGTTTTGACAAGCATCATCTCAATTTGCTCAAGTCTACTCAAGGGTTGCACAGTTCAAACACCCTCCTAAGCCAGTCAAATTAGGGTTTTGGTTCTTGCAAGGAAGTTGAGGTTTTCAAGGGCTCAATCAAGTCTCATATGCCTATATACATTGTCAAGCATCTACATGCCAAGTTTCAAGGCTCACAGGGTCAAGTTGCACAGTCAAAAGCCCTAGTTGCTCCACAATCAACTGTAGGGGTAAAATGGTCATTTGGCAGTCAAAAGTCAAAAAATTTGGTCAACATCTTATTTTAAAGCCACAATCATCATTTGGTCAAGTCTTGACCATGATTCCACAAGAATGGCTCAAAAATCATTAAGATGCAAAAGTTTCCATTTTTGGACAGCTGAAAAGTCAACTGTAAATTGACCAGGGCATAACTTTTTCATGGTTCATCAGAAAAATCCCATCCAGTTCTCATTTTGAAGGGGATGGCATTTCCTACAACTCACCTTCACATTCCAAATCCAAGAAATGCTCTCACAAAAAGTTATCAATTTCAACATTATAGGTCATTTTCAAAAGTCAACAAAAAGGCATTTTAAGTCAAAGACCATAACTTGAGATTGGTAAATTCAAATGACATGGGACCAAAGGCATTGGTTAGAGGACTTCAATACCTTTCCAAAATGTCCAATAACATGTTCATATGATCAAAATTGAGCAAGATATGCATTGGAGAAGTTTGGAAATTTTTGTGAAATGGCAAAAGTCAACTATCCGTGAAACATCAATTTTTGACAAAAGGGCCCACTTTCTTCCATTTGATTCAGCCTTGTCATGCCATACACGTGTCCCATGATTAATTTCAAGATTAAACATTAATTTTTCTATTTTATTTAATTTTTATTGATTTAATCCATTTTAAATCCATAAAATTCAAATAAAATCAAAAAAATTAATTAAAGGGCATCTTTGTGGTTTGAATGACCTTTATATGCCATTTACTAGCTGCCAAATTCGTGCAAGCTATTTTTGTACACAAAATTTTGAATTTGAACCAAGTATGGAATGTCCTTTTAATGGTGGTCAAACAAAATCCAAAGCTTAATTGCACAAGGTTAAGGCTCTTAATGTTGACTCAATTCCCTTCATACATACATATGCAAGCCTTCCCAACCTCATTCAGGACCTAGAGCTCACTGAAACGGCCAGAACCAAAACTCAAAATTTGTCAAAAAGTGGGAGATCTAAAACTGTGTTGCAGGCACTTTGAGATCAAAATAAGCACGTGGTCCTCTTCATTGCCATCCCCTGAAGCCAACGCAACCCTTGCCACGTCCTAAGACCCATCACACCGCGCTGTAAGTATTCACAAACTCACCCCTGTACACGAAATGGGAATTCTCCATTCTTGCATTTTTCCTCAAAAATATTAGCATAGTTATGTTCCTTGTTTGATTTCTGATCTAATGACAATAGCCAATTTCATTTTTAGGCCTTATACTGTGATACACGATTCAAGGTTTTGCTTGCTTGTTTTTTAGGCGTTTTCAGTGCAGGAAAAATTGGTCACGATAATGGGTATAGAAGTGATCAGGAGAGGGAAACGAGACCAACCATGGTGTTGGAATTAATTTTTGATGCCTAAGGATGATTTTGAGTAAAGCCTGCGAAATCTCCTGCGGATAAAAATCTGCAGGTAAATAACCAGCAAATTATTGAAGACGATGATGATGTGTCTCCCCGTCACTGGCCAGTTCAAATTAAAACGCGCTTTTTTTTTATTTTTAGGATGTTGCTTATTTGTTTTATATAATTTCATTTTCTCACTAGTATAACGAATGGAAGCAGTTGGCGTAGTGGCATAGCGTGCAGGCTTTGAACGTAGGGACCTGGGTTCGATTCCCAGGTCCACCCCATATTCGTTTCCATTTTTTTCTAAAGCGTTCATGTGCAGATTCCCCAAAGCACCTCACCATACACCTCCAGTTCACAAAGCGCCAGGTGGCTACAGGCATGCAACCAACAAACACTTGATCCAAGAAGTCAACGTGGCTGGATGAATAATGGGCTTCCAGATTTCTAAACACACACTCAATTCTGGCCCAAACCCCCTTGGTTTTGTTATTCTTTTTTATTTTATTTTTTTCTTTTCTTTTATAATTCCTTTTTATTAATCATTAGTATTATTATTATTTAATTAACCTAAATTATTTATTTTCATAAAAAATAAAAAAAAAACTAATATTTGTATTTATTAATTTCACTCCTTTATTTTGTAAATAAATTTTAATTAATTAGTTTAGTTGTTTAAGTAGGTTTAATTTTAACTTTTTTTACAATAAATAAAAATGATTTAGACTTAAGGTTTTTCTTTTAAAATTTCTTTTATTTTTATTTCATTAAAAATATAAAAAACTCAAAAACATTTTTTTTCTTTTGATAATTAATTAATTAATGAATTAGGTTTAATGTTTAATTTAATTGCAAAAAAGGGTCAACACCCTAAGGACGTTCCCGATTAAATTTCTATTCGCGCGTATTTATTTATTTTGATTATATTTATGTATCTGTACAGAGTATGTAATAGTTAATTAGGGATTTTACCGCTTTATTTAATTTCTCGTACTTATTTACCAAAATGGGTTTTTGTTTTTGGCGATGTATAGACCCGCGCCTTGTAATAGCGTAGAATTTACATTTCCGCAATTTATTTTCCGCACTCCTAACTGTTAATTATGCCTGAAAGAATGTATGAATAATAAAATCAATCCGTAGCTCACAAATAACATACAAAGACAAACATTAACTGAAAAACAACACACATGCACATGCCACCCCTAGGGTACGCCTCACTGGTTGCCTCGAAAATGGTCATCAAGTATAGGGTGTCTTAGAGGTCGCCCTTTGTCTAAAGATCCAGTCGCCTCGAAACGGTTGCCTCGGATAAAAGGATCTAGGATATTAGGGTTACTTCTAAGGTGTCCTACCATTGCTTTGGTGACCACACATGTCCCGATAATCGAATTGACCCGAACAACTCCAACGACGGTGCTGCCAACCTCTCAATGATGGGATAGCACTATCTAAAGGACTCTTACACATCCTAATTCCTTAGAGTAGGTGATTCTCATGGGTACTTGCTCTTTTCAAACAAACAAAAACCAACTTTTCGCACTCACACTTTCTAAAAGTTTTCAAACAAATATTTCACACACTCTTGAGGACAGATACAAGAGTTACTTAGAAATCTTTCAAACGAAACTTTTTCAAAACCCACACACACTTGAAAAGAAAACATATTTTGAAAACATAAGAGCAAGTACCTAAGAGCCCATGGATAACCATGGATAGAAAGGGTGCTAACACCTTCCCTTTCTATAAATCTACCTCCCGAACCGAGAAACATTCTTGAATAAGGAATTTTGCTGTGCTTTTGTCCTTTCCATGTTGGAGAACATAAAAGACGGTGGCGACTCTTGCTTACCGCGACATTTCCCGAAACCAGCTAAAAAACAGTCAGTTCTATTTCCACCGATCACAGCTTGAAAGTAACATGGAAAATTTAGAAAGGCAGAGTGAAGCAGAGGACAACTACAATGGGGTGTTAGGACAAGTATCATTTTCTAGAGCTTTTACCTGAAGCATTGAAAGTCTTTATTCTTCATCCAGAAATTCCTAAATGATGCCAGAGCACTTAATATTATACCTATAGGTTCACTTGATATTTTCGGATATAGTGACTTGCAATATCTCAGGATTCGAGTTACAGAATATTCAAAGAAAACAGACCTTTCCAATTGTCCGCAATTAACATCTGCAATACTGCTTTTGTCACTCATACCTGCATCATATTTCACGGATCCCCTGCAAAGGAAGATTATAGAAAAGTTATTTATTAGTTCTGGACGTCCTAAAAGAGAGAGTTGTAAATTCCCACAAAAATTGTTAGATACCTTTATCTTTGAAGCAGTTCAGGAGGTGGATATCTCAAAGTGTCGAAGACTGCTTATTGAACGTGCTGTTTACTTCCGCCAGCCTTCTCCTTCCTTAAAAATATTAAAAGCAGAAGCTAGCAGTTCTAAAAAACAACCAACCAATTTTTAAACTGAACTTCTTACAATCCCAACTGTTTTAACCAAAACAGAATTGCTAACTAATATTCGCATTGAGGGTTTAAGTTAATTCAGGCCATAACTAATTCTTTACTTCCTAACCTCTTAAACTAACTCCTAACTAATTTTTAACAGAACTAGTAGCAACCTATAACAAACTCTAACAGAATTCCCAACAAACCAATAACAGATCTGTAACTAACCCAACTAACTCCTAACAGCAGCAACAGAACTAAGTATTAACTAACTCTATAACCCCTAACTGCCTCTACAACTCTACAAAAATATATATAATAGAATCACAGAAGAAAGAAGGGGGGAGGTAGACAAATTGAGAGAAGAAACTCAGAGAGGGGGATATATATCATTATTCAGTCTCAGATCCAGAATTTTTTTGATTCAACCAGAAAAATCCCCTTGATCTCTCTCTTTGAGCTTCACGATTCATCACAAATATACAGAAAAGTTCAATAAACTCACCTGAATCTCTCAAGAAAATATTTCTGAACCCTCTATCATCTTCAACGTCTTCCACACTTTTTTCTTTGTTTATCATCACCGCGACAACCTTCAGCTTATCAGAAGATTCAATTCATCGCAATCTGCAACCTCCATTTTCCGCGTCGATCTTCAACAAATCATCATCAGCCCGCAGCAATCACAACAATGAATCTCAAGAAGTCTTCAAGAACGTCAACATAACAACACCGCAGAAATCGTAGAAGAAACAGTAGAATTTTCAACAAAGCGCATACCTGATTTCACTGGTTCTCTCATCATATTCATCAAATCGAGAACGGAAGAGACGAGTCTGAAGAGAAGGAAGAAAAAAAAGACTAGTGTTGTTGAATTTATCATCGATTAGGTTATAGCATAGATCAGAGGTGATGGATCCGTCACAGTCACACAGCAACAACCCGAATCCGAATCTGAATCCACTGGCTTCATCGGTGCCGCTTTGGCCGGCGATCGATGGTTCACCAGGTCTGTCGGAGGAAGAATCAGTCAAGTATGCTCGAAGGTTCTACAAATTCGGTTTCGCACTTCATCCTCTTCTTTGGGCCGTCAATTGCTTCTACTTCTAGCCCGTTATTCAACACTCCCTCACTCTTTCTATTTCCTTTGGTTTTTTTAAATTTTGTTTTTTAGTTTAAATTCCTTTTTTATAATAAAAATAGTAATGAAATACCTATAATAAAAACAATCAAAATGTATAAAATTTAGGAATTCCTATTAATTCTTTTTTAGATAATGAACTACAAAAGTTAGTAAAGTTTTTTTAGGTTTTTGATTTTTATTTTTGGGAATTAATTCCTAATTTTTTGATTATTCGAAATTCATAATCCACCTTTGCTTTGTCGAGATTTAAAACTTATGCAGGTTTATTATGCGATATGCGGATACACTTGAAATTTCGATTGTGGTTTATTTTCACATCGATGATGCTTCAACACTTATTCTGAGCATTGAATTTCTAACCTTTTTCTTTGTCGATGCTAGTAGCTCACGAGATCGTCGGGTTTCTTTGCTTTTTTTGCTTTGCTCTACGGGCTAGTACTCGTTTGGTATATTTTCTTTCTATTTTCACCCCGCATTTATCTCTTCCCATAGATTGTGTGAAGTATAATAACATTAGGGGTAGATATAGGCTAGTCTCCTTTTGATTTTTTTTTTCACATATGCATTTAAAACAACAAAAACAAAAACTTCTTATTTTTTCTTTCAAACTTCAAAAATACTTAAAATTACTGACAAGAATCGTGCCTTTGTTAAACATGGGAGATGATAAGCGGGTCTCTTCTCGATCTTATAGTTTTTCATTCTAAGCCTTGGCATGGTTCAAGTATCAAAGACTTATTTCCTTAATAAGTGGAGAAATGACTAAAATCTCTCTCTTGAAATCAACTAGTTGTTATCCACAAGCAAAAATACCAACCAAACACAAAACTCTTTTTGCCTTTGGGCTTTTCTTTCAAACTCTTTTCAAAAGAACAAGTTAATTCACTTATGTGCTGACGCGTAAGTCTCCAAAGGTCGAGTTGCGGCAGAAGGAGAAATTAATATCGTTCATTACAAACACAAAAAAAATTCAAACTTTTTTGTGCGCCCAAGCACATTTTCTTCAAATCTTTTCAAGAGAGCATGTTAATTCACTTCTTTGCTGACGCGTAAGTCTCCAAAGGTCGAGTTGTGGCAGAAGGAGAAATTAATATTGTTCATTAAAAAATACAAACCAATAAAAACACATAAGCCGAACTACAGCTGCTCTGATTCCTTAAAAGGGATACGTAGGCATCGGGGTAGGGCCCGAATGAGCACAATTTTATTTTCCCTACATTCTTTTCCCTTTTCTTTTGCATGCATTCTCCCTTCAGTAGTATAGACTGTAAGCATAGATTAAACACACCCATAAGATATATAACAAGAGTGGATACCATAGAGTACTATGGGCGTGTGGGGTGCTAATACCTTTCCCTCGCGTAATAGACTCCCTTACCCTTATCTCCCGGTCACAAGATCGCGACTTCTCCCTTCTCAGGTTTTCTCGATGTTTACCTTTCCCTTCATGTGGGATAAAAGACGTTCAATGGCGACTTCATTATTTGATGATTTTCAGCCGGTTGTTTCAGCTGGTGACTTCAATGGGGACAGGTCGACCAAATGCTGGTCCATCCCGGAGTCACTCCTAGCACTTGTTTTCTTTTCTTAGGGTGTTTATTTTTATGCTTTCAGTTTACTCATTTGTACATGTTTATCTGAGCATAAGTTTGCATTGCATTTTATTGCTTTCCATATTTGTTATCTATTATGCTGGATTCTGGTTTTCCATGTTGGGTGGGGATGTTACTATTGAGGTAAAAGGCCCAGTACCCAGGCCAGAGTGCACTAGGACACAAGGAATAGAGTGGGGGAATGACGGCTATAGGACGTGGTCTGATTAGTGCAGTCATGTCATATACCATGCTCGGATGAGGTTCAAATGAATTACTACCGGCACCCACGTCTGTGGGTAAGCCCATGGCACTTTCAGGCGGACCCGTGATTTTCGAGTTACCATTGCCTTACCCTGACCTAGTCTTCACCCGTGAGCAGGGAGGGAATTCTTATTACAGGTACAGTTGGTGACTATGTTCAAATGGTTACTCATGTTCAGATAGTGACTATGATCAGACGGTGATTAGCGGTTCTAATGGTTATGTTCTGGATTTCTGTCGGTGACTTATGCATTATGTTGGTGACCATATGGTTCTCAGATTTATTTTCTGGGTTCCTGACTTGTTTACCTAGAGATTCATTCGGGCCTTTGATCTCGGTATTCCCAGCATATTCAGAAAATTCTCAACAGTATCCGATGTTCCAGAACCCTTGACCCTGTACAATGGGAGATCTACATGGTACTTGGTTCTTATATATGCGGAAGCCATGCCAGACCTTTAATCTGATAATACTCATATGGTTCAGAACAGTACATCAATCATATCCAGAAATGATGGAACCTTAATCCCGTTTGGTCTCATGCCTATGCATACATAACATGATTAACCACATGCTTAACATACATGTTCTATTATTTCCAAGGAATCATATTTGCAAGACTTGTGTTGAAACTTTCCATCCTTACCTATGTAAAATCAAAATCAAAGCACGTAAATTCCTTGGAAATAACGAAACATGACATGGCATCCGTTCATGTATCCCATGTATATTCATGCGTCCATAACAGGTACTCGGAGATTGGGGATTCTTGCTCAGACCATGTTTTTTCTTCAGAGGTTCAACTTGATTCTTACTATCACGTGCTCAGAAATCAGTTATGGAATAACTCCGGGTATACATGCAAGCTTTGGCCCATGGTCAGAAATCTCTTCAAGCAGGAAGATAATTGATTGAAAACTCAGATGATCCAGGTCATGAAAGCTTTGATGACGATGTCAACAATCTTGCACCTACTATCACAGTAAAGGTTCTCTCTTCTCCTCATCTTTTGGGAATTGCTTCCAACCATGGAGTGCTACGCAATCCTGAGTTCTTAGAACATCTTATCAGGAGATGGTTCCCATTTACTATAGGATCTTATATCAGTGCTTCATTCCTGTTAACCAACGTCAGTTGTGGTTGCCACGTCGGGGCATCAGACTTTTTAAAGGGCATCCTCCATAACTTTATGTTTACTGATCTGTTCAACAAGAGTCAGTCTTTATTCCCCAAGTGAATTCATGGGGCAAAGCTTTTAAGCAAAGACGGAAGATGTCTGATGAGCATGTTAATGCAAGCCTAACGCATTACATCCTATTATTCCCAGTTCTTCCTAGCTCTGATCTTTGAGGTCTTCCTCCCACACACATCTCTTCTGATTACAATGTGTATACTAGATACATCCCCTATTCTGGGGTACCCGATTTTGATATTGAAGACTACAAAGGGGTTGAAATATAAAGCCCATCACCTGTTTGATGTCTCTTCTAAAGGTCCAATTCCTTTTTGGCCAATTGCCACTCTTTTCACCAGGTGGATGTCTCTTTTGTTTTGATAGAAGACAGACTGTATTAGTTTTGTGGTGTAGTATGCCTGATGATGCAGTTTATATCGATTCGCTTGGAAAAGCATTCATTTGTTCTCCTGAAAGAATCTTCTATGGGTATTATTCTAGGGCAACTGATTATTCAATTGAAGATGGTACATCATCTAGAGACAAGGTCCAAGACGAGATCAATCCAGAGACTGTGGTGTCCAAATCATATTAGAAGAGGAATTTTCTCACTCACCTCATGCATCTTCATGCATCCATAGAAGGTACTCAGAAGGTACTCAGAAGGTACTCAGAATGGGGAATCCTTATTCGGACTCAGTGTTTTCTTTTCAGAACTGCAAATCTTGACTTCTTGCCGCTTCGTGATCAAATTCAAGTTATGAAAGAACTTTGTGAGGAATTGGATGAGATAAAAAGAATCAGATGGGGATGTTTATTGGGGATATGCAAACAATGGCCTGTAGTCATAAATCCTCAAAGGGAAAAATAGCCAATTAAAGACTTAGTTGAGTCGGGTATGGTGTCGGCAAAGAAAAGTGATCTTGTATACGTTGTTGCAACAGGAGCTGTCATTCATCCCCAGCCTATGGGACATTTTTTTCAAATCATGAGACGCATTGTAGGTCTAATTTAGAACTTCGTGTTCCCGGATTTTCTTGCTAGCAGCTAGTTTCTGGTCTCCAAGTGAACCCATGGGGTAAAACTTACCAACAGAGACAGAAAAAGCTTGAGAAGTAGGTTGATACAATCTCAATACCTTGTATCCAGTTACTTCCTCGTATGTTGGAAGCTCAATTGATTAAGCTTCATGCTTTGGGTCATCCTCCAACATTTCGATGCAAATGCTAGATGTGTCTCCCATTCTGGGGCACTTTGTTAGGATATCGAATACTGTAAGGGGTTGAAGTATTGGATTATTTTCCAAGGTTCAGTCCATGTTTGGAAAACCATTTCAGACTCTCTTTCCTCAACTGGATGCTCCTTATGTGTAAGTATAAGATGGGGTGATGCTTCTGTGATGAAGAAGTATAAGATATCGAGTTCTTGGATATCTGTTGTTGTGTAGAAGAAAAATACCTTAAAGGTCGAACGCTATATTCAAAGTTTAGTTTCTTCTGTGTAGTAGAAGATTCTTTGTTACAGTTTCTGAATTTTGCTTCTGTGTAGTAGAAGACGGAGACTCTTTTGTGAAGTAGGAGACTCTCCGTAATTCGGTTGCTAAAACTTCTCTCTTGTAAAGTAGGAGATGAAGTTTACTCACTTTTGTGTAGTAGAAAATTCTTTAGTATGGTTGCTGGATGTCGCTTATATGTAATAGAAGGCGTCGCTTCTTTTGTGTAGTGGGAGACACTCCGGAATTCAGCGGCTGGATTTCTCTTTTGTGTGATAGAAGATGGTTGGCATTTCTTCTCTATGGTAGAAGATACTTTGTGATGCAATTTATGCAAGTTCGCTTGGTAAAGCCCTCATCACATATGGTGAAGGAATTCGATGTGATTACCATACTGGGGCACTAGGCCATTCCATTGAAAACTGTTGGGATTTCAAAGAAAA